CAAAGGCTTAGGTGTGTGTGTGTGTGTGTGTGTGTGTGTGTTGTGTATGTGACACTGTACTGTGCCATGGTTTATATGCATGGCACAGTCATGTCGTTTATACAGTCTCATACTTTTCTAAACAGCTTACATAATAAAAGTTATGAAGTAGTAGGCAAACCTTCATGATTTGGATACCAAAGATCTGAAGCATAAATAGATTTTTTTCTTAAAATCTAAATGTTTTTGTTTTTATTTAGATGGAAATCCACAAGCTGCTGGAGCTGATGATGACAATGACTACATATCTGTTCCTGCAGTTTGTTATAGTTGCCTGAGAGAGTGAGTGAGTCAGTGTATATGTCTGAAAGCCTTGTCTTTTAGTATTATATTACATAATATATATCGCAACCACGCAAAATATCCATGATTGTAAAATGTCACAATTCACACTGATGCCAACCACCTTTCTTAAATTAAACTTAAGTCCAGTTTTCATCAATAAAGGATGTTTTCATGATACTTCATATGTATTTGAGTTAATAATTCTTACCTGCCTTATCTCATACTTTTCTATAATGCTGTGGACGCAGCTATTGGTAAAGTGGAAAACTATCAGTGATAACACTACAGTTACTTATCAAACAATTATGCCGTTATTTGTATCCCATACATTTTTCAGTTGTCTTTGTTTCTTCTATACTGCTTTTAGCCATCGAATGCTGCTTTTCAACAACTGCCAAACATTAGTCTGCACATCAGCTATGACAGAAATGGCAAAAAAAGCAAAATATGCTCAGGAGTAGACATATGCACATCACTTTGTCTGATTGTTGCATGAAAAACAAGAATGTGACCAGGAATAGCTATCCTCTGTTGCAAACAAAATATCAACTCAATACAAGCACTGGCCAAAGAAATGTGATACATACAATTTCAGTTTGTACAGCAGAGCTGCGGTTAACACATTTTTATGTCAGGAGCTCTTTGGGCAGGTTTTCAGCAGTTTTGCTGTTGGTGGATTGTACACACTCCTTAAAAGTAGATTTGTGTTGAAATGTAGGTCATGTTAGGTGATCCTAATGCTGCAAAGTAATGTAATGAGTTGTGTAAAGAACTGATTCCTATATAAAGTAAATAGAGAAATGCACTTCTGCTTGGTTGCAACACTGCTCAATGTGTAATGAAAAACCTGATTATTCTATGCAGGTGCAAAAATGTGCTGACATTATACTACTAAGTTAGTTTAAAATTAAAAAAAAAAAAGGTTTTCTTTCTTCTTACATTTTGTATTATTCTTTATTTATCAGTTCACCTGCTTTCTCTTGTGAAACGCACAGATCCGTTAATTTCTTCTTCCTTGGACGCCTTTTAAGTCAGATTTGAAAAGCTAGCACTCAATGTCATGCTTTCTATCGACAATGAAAATGTATCCTTAGAAATGCATAATGTTGGACTTCAATTTTAAATCAGTTACATTTAATTCAATTCAGATTCATTTACGTTGCCCCAACAGCAGTGCCCTCTCTTTATGCTAATAATAGAAATATTACAGAGATTTTTTTCTTAGAGAAAAAATGGAGTATATTAAAAATTATCTACAATTTTATTAGATTAAAAACTTACTATAAGGGCCAAAAACAAAAAGAGATTTGATTAAACTGCTACATTTTGCTGTAAATTGATTCCACATGCTTCTGCAACTATTTATTATCAACAAGAGTAACCTCTACTACTCAAAGATGAGTAATTGTATTGTGTATATGTTTAGGGGTTTTATTGTGAATAGCTTCGGACAGAAAGAGCACATGCATAGGACATATCTTGCATATTGTTGCAAAGCCTAATTGGAATTTAGAGAGATTCCAAGGGGTAGATCTAGTAGCCAATAAGGAGTATTGCTTTTTTCTGGCCCTCTTATGAGTTTTCTTAGTTTCCCAGAAAGGCAGCTATCAGGATTTGTCTAATGCTGAATATAGGTAGGAAATTCATGGGTAGCAGACTTGAGGCATTGGTGTAGCAGATTGGCAGGTGGTTGGCCAGGAGGAGGAATTGGAAAAAGCAGCAGGATAGCAGGCTAGAGGCTAGCTCAGGAAAAGGCCTAGGAAAAGGGTGAAGGCTAGTCAGGTGGATAAGTTTAGTCATTCTTCCACCTTAGACAGGTTTAATGAGTGCTTTTTAAAAAAAAAATATAAATTGATTTATTTTTACAATAATTATAATTATGACCTCAGTATATCACAGATCAACACTCCTAATGCTTTACAGACAAACTATATGTGTACTGTATATATATATATACAGTACACATACACATATATGCTGCTGATAGACATGGATGACATACAGCATATTAGAGTTCCCAAGATTCTCAGAAGGGGAAATAAAACACTCATGCAAAATATCCAACACATCTCAATAGGTACGAAAAGTACTGAGTGTGTAATTGGCATGCAAAGAATGAAGTAGTGTGTTTTCTGATATCAAGGCTTTATTCAATCTTTTGACACAGTATGTCACTCGTTGTCATCCTTTCATCACTCTGTCTCTCCTTTCCTCTCATTTTTCTCCCCTGCCTTTAGCTCTGCAGTCAGAGGCCTCTGTGGCAGATTTTGCCCAGCAGTACTAAGGACACATGTGCCTTGAAGGAAAGACAGACAAACACGCAGATGGGTGGGACATGAGGATAGACAGTGTTTGTTTGAAGCTTAGTTTCAGTCTTTTCTCATTCTCAGTCAGTCCCATTCGTGGTGTAGTCTATGAAGACGTGGGAACAGTATTCATTTACTGGGCTTTTGTAGTTATGATTAAATTAAATGTTCTTTGATAATTCTGTTCTTACAGCAAAAATACTATGTAGTACTCATGCATGTTTTATTTCTCTTTTTTCTTTTCCCCCCATTTACTTTGCATTAAAACGTTGTTTAATACACTGTGGGATAATTAATCTTGAAACAAGAAGGCTAAAAGTTATGCCTGACTTTCACATCATTATCTAACCATTTGTGACACATTTACCAGATGTGGCCTCCTTCACACCTTCAGCTCAGTTAGCTCACCTGCTTCCCCCAAGTTTATGACCTTTGTTGGGAGTCATTCGATGCTGAATCCAGTCTTTGTTTACAGCCTCAATTTCTTGCCTTGCAGGGTGCTTATTATCATCAAACAGCAAACGACCTAAATACTGGCAGAGTGAAGATTTTGATACTTTTAGGTCAAATAGTTGTTTTCATATTCAGCTTCCACTTCATTAGGTACACCTGTCCAACGGCTCATTAATATAAATATGTAATCAGCCAATGACACAACAGCAGCTTAGGGTAGTGGCATGCAGACACAATCAAGATGACCTATTGAAGTTCAAACTGAGCTGGGATTTTCCCACAAAACCAGAGAATGTCAAAAAAAGAAATACTATGCTGTGAGCAGCAGTTCTTTTGCCAGAAAATGCCTGGTTGCTGCAAAAGGTCAGAGTAGAATGGCCAGACTGCTTCAAGCTGATAGGAAGGGAAAGATAATTCAAATAACCACTTATCACAACCAAGGCATGCGGAAGAGCAGCTCTGAAAGCACAATGATCCTTGAAGCACATGCAGCAGCAGCAGAAGACCACATACCTCTCTCATACTGTATTTATTCTGTATAAAAATATTGTATTCTCATTTATCTGCTCGGTGGCTCTGTTACACATTTAAATGCAGCAAAGTACTTGGATGAATTTCAAGCATAATTAGACATTCTTTTATTGCTTGCAACCACCAAAAAATTACATAGATCATAATCTGGCATATCTCACATCATCAAGACGCTGTGTCAAGTTAATTAAGACATGTCTTTATGCTAAGATGGTGATAGAGAGGTCGACACTTTTGTCTGAATTTAGACAAACCAAAGAATTGTAACAGCAACATTTACAGAAATAACTCACTGTAACGGCTGACTCATAAGATTAATGAAACCTTGTCAAAGACAAAGACAGCATTAAATCCTTTGTAGAGTTCATGGATGAAACTTTATGTGAAGTCTTCGGAGCAGCTATGGTTGGTTAACACTTTACAGTTTCTTTATGCTCACGTAACAGTGACGAGCAAGTTGGACCCCAAAAATTTATTAACAAAGGATTCAAATCTATTTTAATTCAACATATTTTAAATAAAGAAGAGCAATTGAAGAGCAGACTTACAGCATAAATTCACATCAAATGTAACTGACTAATTCACTCGAAAGCTGTTTCACGGAGAGATGTGGGAAATTCTTTTGTTGTTTCTTAATTAATGAAGTGGTTAAAAGGTCTGGAGATGTCAATGGCAATTTTATTTTCATTGCAAGCAAACTCAATTGGAGATGAGTCAAAGGGTATAATTTGGAAGCAAGGAGCTCTTAATGCAAGTGAAACATACTCAGACTGCAACACAATATAAACCATCATAGAGAGAACATTGGGAACATTAAATGTGGCCAGTTCTTACATTCTGAGAAAGAAAGCACTGGTGATCTCAGGAACACAAAAGGCCTGAGTGTTCAGTGAAGAAACAGTCATAGATAATTGCAGGGTCCTTCCTGTGCACCCCAGCTGTGAAACTATATTCTTTCAACAGATGATACAAAGATGAACCAAAATGTGGGTGTGCAGATATATGTAACATAACGGTAAGATCTGAGAAAAAAAGTGCATGGCATGCTCGGTTTCCAGTGACACTGGGCCTCTGGTATTTATAAATGATTTGAAAAGAAGAAAACTAGAACTAGGATAAATTCTACAATTTGTATGGATTCTTTCTCCTCAGATTGAACCAATTACAGTAGATATATTTGACAGAGCTTCTCAGTATAATGCAGACAATGAGCAAAAGCATTCCATGAAAGCGCCTCAGGTGGAAATGGAAAATTCTGCATTGGATGAGTCTTACACCTGAGCTCATTCAAATGAGCGTGCAATTCAGTGGTGAAAACCAAACAAGAAACAATAAAATAAGAAATAAACAAGAAATAAATAGATAGATAAAATTATTTTCTTCTATTCCAACTTTAAAAAATAAAAACAAACCAAAAAACCAAAACACGAAAAAGTTGCTTTGACAACCGTAAGTGATTTAATTTGCCATCTCTTACACACAGAACAATTTCAAATGATCTTGACACAACAACACACGATATAATGTATTTATATTACACCTGCACTTACCCAGAACAACCACATACCTTTGATCACTACTCTTCCCCCCCACCGTTCTCTACCGTTTGTGTCTCATTCTCCTAACCTCTTAACTTCTAAACTCCTTTTTTCCCCCTCTTCTTATCCCTCATCAGTCCTTTCCCATCATCATTGTTATACTCTTTGTCTACTTGCTGGTTAATTACTGTTAATGCAAAGAACTGAGTAACACATGGGCGAACACAGAGACATAGCCTCCCACAGATTCTGTAACCCATTTGTGTAACCCACCCATGGACCCATGAGAGGCAGTGGGAGCTATAAAAATGCTGACTGCACACAGCTATGAATATAGTTTAGTTTACATCTGTGCTTTGGACGGCTTCATTTCCAACCTTCTCAGTGTGTCAGTGTCGCGGGGTCCTCTCCTAAACTTCTCCCGATCAAATACAGGCGTAGTCGGAAAGCATTCAGTGTGGATAATTTATTTATTTATTCTGCCGGCCTCCCAGGTGCACAAAAGTTATTTACAAAGAAAATAGAACTGACTTAAGTCATCACAAACAAACATCTATATACAAAACACAGTCTGCATGTTACCCTCTCTGTAACAGCTCTCTGGAGAGAAAAAACACAGGTAGGCCCTGACCGCCTTCTCTTATACCCCATAGCCCCTCCCACTAGGCGTAATAGTCATCTCTTTATTATTTCTTTTATCAAACAGTCTTTCCCCCTCAGCTTATTTCCTGCTGTATTCCTACAATACATATATGTATATGTGTATATGTATACAGACATTTATGGCCATTTCCAGGCAGCCTACAGTGTTTCACAATAACACAAAACAAACCAAAAAATAATGCAGTTCACGTGACCCTCCAAGCGCGCGCGAACCCATTATTTAAACCCCGGAACACTATGCCATCGGCTTGCATAACCCCGCATAATCGGCGATCACAGCGCGTCTCTGCGACCGGCTTTATTAAAAGGTAAGTGGGAAAATATGTTGGCCACCCTCTGCGCTGCTAACAATATACCCCTCACCCCTTTTGTTTATCTGCCCGGTCGACGAAAAGACGCGCGGCCACGGTGATTGTAGAAACTAATGGTGGTGCGTGTATGCGCCCAGATCAGCTGTCTGCGGCTCGGGACGGTGTAACTCCATCACAGTCAGCAGCTGCTTTTCTTTGATGTGATTATGGGTGGGAGACAAGAAGAGACACTGGTATGTAAGGAAAAGAGCCAACTCTGCAGTAATCTTAGCCAAATAGCTCCAATTCTCTTTCTGACCTTGTGTCTAGCTCGCTGAACTAGTATAAATGATATTTTTGACACAGTAATGTGTATTAAGTATTAGAGCTGGGCAATGAATTAATTAATTGTTTCATTTTTTTTTTGTTTTTAAAGTCATTAATACGCTGCACCCACCAAGCCATCCTGTACTTTATGTACTGTGCCTTTAAAACGCACTACCATGTTTATTGTCACATGACTATCCAATCCACATTGTGAAGGAAAACTCCAATACTGAGGCGACTGTGCAGTTCCAGCAGCTTGTAGCAAATAGAAACGCTGTGTCTGTTGTTTTGGCACATTTTTGGCTTAAGTACACACAACACAGACAAGAAAGCCAAAAACTGAACCAAAGGTAATACCAACAGTTGTTTACAACATTTGGAACGGGCTCAAATCACTAAAGAAAATATCCCAGATTTGGTGTGTAAGCATATTGACAGTACAAACCTGTTGAAGTAAATTAATAAATGAAAATACATCAAAATATATAACTGATGCTGAGAGACAAGTACATGCTTAGTTTGCACTAACTCTATTACATCATTTGTTGTTCACATGAAAATAATGGATTTGGGTTAAATGTATTTGCTTATTTTATAAGAATTTTGAACTTGAAGGCGTCAGACTTTGCCCATTCAATTATAATGGTTTAGTAACACTACCAATAGATAAACTCACTTTTACTACATTTATTGATAATTACATTTCTAATAAAAACTCCACTGTTGATCAATCACAGTACACACAGAGTTATTACCACAGGCCAAAGATGGAAAAGTCACCAGCATCACCACAAGGCCACATTTCACTGGCTGGCTGAGCAGGTCGCACCACTGAGATGTGATTTGGCGCTATATAAATAAAATTGAATTGAATTGAATTGTCGCTGTGAACAGTGGTTCCCCGCTCACAGTGGTTCCCCGCTCACAGTGGTTCCCCGCTCACAGTGGTTCCCCGCTCACAGTGGTTCCCCGCTCACAGTGGTTCCCCGCTCACAGCTGAGGTGTTTCCTGGATGAAAACCAAGGGCAAGATAGTGCTATGTTTATTTGCAATTTATGCATCAAAACATGTGCAATAAACCTGATATGTTGGAAAACATTTTACAATCAGTGAAGTTCTAAACAGTGAAACCTGAAAAACATTGCATTAAGGCCAAACATATCCACTTTGGTCTCAGCTTTCCAAAGGAGTTCCAGAAGTTTTGGTTTGCTCAGATGCAACTTTGCAAACTTAATTTGTGCTGCCATGTTCTTTTTAAAGAAAACAGGCTTTCACCTGGCAACCCTTACAAACGAGCCATATTTCTTCAGTCCTTTTATAATTTTATTAAAGGACTGAAGTCAGTTGGTTTAATATGCTAACCAACTAACTAACTAAGATGTAGCTCTTGGATTTTAATTTAGTTTTTGCTGTTTCTTTGACCATGGCCTGACTTTGGAGCAAATTTTCGTGAACGTTTCAAAGACCGTCTTGAATCTTTTCCATTTGTGATTATCCTTTCTTGCCCTAGAATGACAAACTTAAAATTATTTGAAAATTTGTTTATTGGTTCCGAGATTACAAGCAGCGTTTGCTTCTCTAAGACCACTGATGACCTAAGTCTAAGTCCTTATGTCTTTCCTTCTTGGCATTGTGCTAAAATAATAATAATGGATTGGATTTATATAGCGCTTTTCAAGGCACTCAAAGCACTTTACAATACCACTATTCATTCACCCTCACATTCACACACTGGTGGAGGCAAGCTACAGTTGTAGCCACAGCTGCCCTGGGGCAGACTGACAGAAGCGAGGCTGCCATATCGCGCCATCGGCCCCTCTGGCCAACACCAGTAGGCAAGTAGGGTAAAGTGTCTTGCCCAAGGACACAACGACCAGGACAGAGAGCCCAGGGATCAAACCGGCGACCTTCCGGTTACAGATGCGATTCCCAAACCCCTTGAGCCACGGTCGCCCATGCTCCTGCTCAGTGCTCCTGCTAAGCCTTCTGCTTTTATAGAGGTGCTCACAGTTGCTCATGATCAATTATTCAATCCATTTGATTAGCAGCGCCTGGTTGCCGCTCACACTCTTAATTGCTATGGAAGCAGTAAGGGTAGATTTACTTGTTTACAGTATTGCATTGAGTCCTGTGGAAACTTTCTTTTTTCTGTAAGTGTCTTTACTTCATGCTTTGCTTTGTGGTTAACAGTTAAAGTTGTTACTGACTGCAACATGGAAGGCTGTTCAATGAAAGCACAACTGAAAAGTGTTATTCTCTGGGGGGGAAAAAAGAAACGTAAACATCTATCAATTTCTGCCTCTACGAACATAGAGACAAACTCAGAGTTTCAGGCGTCTCTGACAACTTGGACAGTAACCTGAAAGTCTCACTAGAGGGCGTTTTTACTAGAAAAAGTTGTCGTTTATAAAACAGAAGTGGTTTAGTACATATGGATAATATTTGACATGAAAGCAGAAATCTGGCGTGCCACTTGGAAAATTTTGGAATCTGTGTTTTATTGCAAACACAATGCAACATTTCCAGTGTGTTTTTTGGGCCTTATTCTTTTTAGCACATCAAATAAATAACACTTTTCATAGAAATGCTACTTAGTGACAGACAAATCAGAATCTGATAACATGGGTCTATATACTGTTGCAGCATCTCAAAACATAATCTGTGAAACAGAAGGAGATCACTTGCTTTCATAATATTTGTCACTCTTTTTGTGCTTACTTTAGTTTAGATAAATGAAGATAATGAAAAAATGATGAAGGAATTGAATTGACTCCGTACTCTGCACACAAACAGAGTAACTAACAATAACATACAACTAAGTTTAAAGGTTTGCATCACTGAGCTGCTTAATTAAAATAGCTTTTTCTTTCCAGTTCAGCTCATTATCTTCTGTAAAGTCTTTGACACACCATAGTTTAGGAATTCCTTGTTAATTAAATAATGATAATTTCTGTCCTCAATCATTCCTGACTTGCTCTTCAGAAATTTGCACCAGTTGTTAAAGTCAAAATGTTGTCCGTGTGTTTATGTGTTTGTTGCTCTGTGACTGCACTCATGTCCCTTGCAAGTATATCATGTGCAGAGTGAGAGCTAATAGGATGTGTTGTCCTCAGCATGCATGCATTTTCATGAGGCATGAGCTCCTGCCTTATCTCATGCCCATCCCTACTTACTGTGCCCAGTAATGTTCATGTCTAATCTGGTGATATTTCTCCATTCAAGTTGAAACGGAGAAACAGGATCAGTCGAGTATTATTGCTAAAAATGAGATGCCCTGCTCTGCTCACTGTGGGGCAGCTAGCACAGACTCTCCCTAACTGATTTAGACTGTCTGTGTGGATGTCTGTGCTTGTGTTTGTCAGGGAAAGGGTGACAGTGCCGAAGGGAGAGAGAGAGAGAGAGTGAAGGAGAGAGAGATAAAGAAAGGCACAGAAGCAAAGAGAGAGGCCTCGGAGAGAGGGAAAGAAGTATGTCAGTTTCTCTGACAGTTATTTGCACAAATTGTTCATACATAGGTGTTGTGTATTGATGACTGGAGGTATGTTGTGACAGGTGTCCTGCACTGTGACTGAAACAGAAGATAGGTAGCATCTCATTATATATATATAGTAATACTTACAGATGGAGCCATCTGCCACCTTGTAGCCATCAGCTATTATTGCCATCATTATTGTCACTCTAGTTGTCTGCCCTGGTGATGCTAATTAGAGTAAACCACAGCAGCTGAAATAGTGAGCAAAGGTCAATAGGAGAGAAAGAGGGAGAGGAAGACAAATAGTGAAAGAATGAGAGTGCGATAGAGCAGTGACATAGATTCCTCCTCTGTTGGCCTCTTTTTCCATAGCCTCATGATGGAAGGGTTTGTGTGCTTGAGTGATCCCAGGAGCTACTATTTTGTTCATGACATTTTGCCCCTGGGAAGATCTCCCAAGGCAAACTTATCATGAGTGAAGAGCTAGACTAAGACGGCAAGACTAGGGGACTAAGTTACCAGGGTTAACAGGGCTCACACCCTTGACTCATACCTGGGGTAGGGGCTTGAGAGCAGGCACTTGACGCCTAGGACTTAGCCGTGCTCAGCAGTGCATAGTCTTCCAATGGGCCCACCATATGTCATAGGGGTTTGAGCAATGTGAAATGAGCAACTGTCTGGCGTTCCAATCCCTGGATGTAAAAACTGGCTCCTGCTATATGGAATGCCACCTCTCTGGCTAGATATAGTCTGGCTCACTTCAACACATGGCTTATGTTCTGGAACAAGTCTCCTAGAAAGGGGCTGGACTCTACTGCAATCTGGGATTGCCCCTAGCTCTGTTTCTGTATGTTGGGGATTTCCCTGGACGATCAGAATTTTAATTTTTTTTTTCCATGTGCCTTTGGATTTGGGAACTGGTCCTGTATGTTGTTTGAGTCTATGCAACGAAATGAGCACCACACAGCCACACCTTCTTGCCATTGTCCTGCCAGGGGACATCTATATGCACTTGGACAATAACAGTGAAACCTGAGGGTTGTGGAACACTGGACCAGTTCTTTATCATCTCAAGGATATTTCAGGGAGTTTGGGAGTTTGCCCAAGTACATGTACAAGGGTAGCAGGTACACATCTCTGCTATGTGTAGATGTGATTCTGTTGGCTTCATTTTTCCACCTAGTGTGAATCAACTGGGATGAGAATTATCCTCTCCAAGTCTGAGGAAATGGTTTTCAGCTGGAAAATGGGGGCCCTACTGCAGCAAATTTAGGAGTTTATGCAACTTGTTCACAAGTAAGGGCAGAGTGAGAAGTGAAATTGAGAGATATGTTGTGGTGAATAGAAAGTGCAGCATAAAAGTGAAGATGTTTTTTTACTGGTCAGTCTGTATTCCTACCCTCACCTTGGACACCCACCTCAGGTTTGGGTAGTGACTAAAAGAATGAGATCGTGGATGAACGATCTCTAAATGGTGATGTGCTTTCAGCATATCATGATGGGAGGAGGCCTGGGGCAAACCCAGGACACACTGTCTTGGGCTACGTCCACACGTACACGGGTATTTTTGAAAACGGAGATTTTCCGTTTTCGTTTTAAAAATTAATCCCGTCCACACGTAAAGGGAAACGCTGCTAGGAACATGCCAAAGCAACAGGTGGCGCTAGATTCCTAACCGTGCAGAAATGTTGGCCAATCAGAAGTCTAGAAGCCTCGGTGGGAAAAAGTAAACAAAGCTGGGGCATAGAAGCAGAACCGAGTGGTATGTGTGGAGGGACAGTAACTGTGTGTTTATATGTAAGCATTTAAACACTGCAGAGAGTACAATTAACAGTAACAGTATTGTAGAAATTCATTTCACCGAAACAATAACGTGGCGCACAGTGTGACGTCAAAAAATGTGCACACCTTTGAGGCTGCGTTTTCTGCGTTTTTCTCTTCCACACCTAAATGCAAAGATGGATTTTTCAAAAATATTCACCCTGGCTGGAGTTTTTAAAAATCTCAGTTTTCAGTGACCAAAAACGCCGTTTACGTGTGGACGAAAGGTGCAAACGCATAGAAAAATCTGCGTTTTCAAAAATACCCGGGTACGTGTGGACATAGCCTTGGTCTAGTGTGATCAGGTCGAGGGCGGTCTGCGGACATCACAAACCACGCCCAGATACATGGTGGAAAATGGGTGGATGGATAGAAAACCTTATTCTATCTGTCTCACTTGAGTTTCACATTAAGTCTAATCATCAGCATTGCCAACCCCTTTCTTTTAAAATGTATTTTAAAATCCATCAGTGCTGAGTGATCCAGTGTTTATGTATATTTTTCCAATCTTTCTTTTTAAGGATGGATATAGTTTACCAGAAGATATTTCTTTATAACGCCATTTCAATCTGTTTAATCCTGTGCAGTTTATTGCGATTCATATCAGCATTCATCTTTACTTAGCATAATGAAATAAACATCATTAGTAAATTAATGAAGTAGTGACAGTGCACAATGAATTTAATGAAGTAACAGCAATGCACTCTGCTTTTAATTCACCTGTTAAGGAGCGTGATTTAAAAATGGCTATAAAAAGGTAAAGAATTTTTGCAATAAGAGGTTTTTTTTATTGTAAAATGCTGTTAGAGATGATAGTCGTATTTAACCCCAGTTTTTTTTATTTGTATTTCTTTTGAATGCAGCTCCAGGTCAAGAGTCTTCTCTAGAAAAATCCTGGCAGAACTGCTGAGGATCCGCAGAACGAAGAGCAAAGCGCGTAAGAAGATCTTCATAAATGCAAATCAAGAAGAGGAGCTTTCCATCTTTGTGTTGAAATAAACACTTAAAGAGTGGACAACACATACTGGAAACAGGTAGGTGATAAAAATCTGTCTTAAGCATAGTGTGTTCAGGCAGAGAAAGACATCATAAGGATGACGTTGCTTTTCATTTTTCAAACCATTTGTCACATGTATATGAAAATATGCCTACATAGTGAATTACATACATGCTGCAATCTTAAGAAATAAAACCAACCTGTCACAAGCTTCTGCCCAGTTATGTGTTTCTGTGTGTGTGTGTGTGTGTTTGTGTGTGGCATACAACTTGGCATTAGGGCCAAAGCATTCTTTAGTGTCTTAACAAGCATATATTATGCCATCTTTTTCCACTTTTATTGCACTTATTTTACTGGGAACACTGTAATTAACGTTGTCAGTGTTTCACTTACCACAGTTATTATATTCTGCATGTGCATACGTGAGTGTACTGTGTGTATGTACATGTCAGGCACAGATAAAGTCAAAGAAGTAATTGTTGTAATTATTTCTTTTCCGATCACCCCTTCCCGACTGTGATAATGTTAGTGAAATTCCTGAGACTCTTGAGACAGATGTAATGCAGAGTAACGGCGCTCAGTTCAACCACCTTTCTATTCATGAAGTGACATATCCGCGCCATTTTATGGTGCTCATATGTCATTAAGTTAATTACTATTGTCAGGAAGAGACTCAGCGCTTCTGACAACAGTGCCGCAAAAAAAAAAGAAAAGAAAAGACAAAAGAAAACAGCAGTTATACATCATTGTTAAAAGATTTGAGTTTTTGTTTTTGGAAGCAAACCAAAGAAAATCAAATCAAACAATGTTTTCACATGTGTAATTATGAGAGGCGACAATTTCTGCTCAAAGTGTGTGCGTAGATGTCGCGTACCTTCTTCTAAGCTTCAAGTAGTTAAAAAGTGAGCTGAGTGTATGCTCCTGGAAATCAGCCAGAAATGCAGTGTTTGTTCTTTCAACCATTTCTGGAACAGCTTCAGTGTATGGTCACACTTTCTGGGCTTTTTTTGCCAAAATGTTATTTCTCATGAGCAACGGGGGATTAGAGGAGGGATGTGTTTCCTTATAACAAGATATATGTAAATACAGGCCGTTCAGTTCTGTTTTATTTGTGACTGTCTGATGCTAACAGACTGCATCCCACAAGCATCTGTAAAATAAAGAATTGAAACCTGAGCATTTCAACACAATTAATGTCCTTCAGTTTGACTTTAGTTTTCCTCATAATGACTGCCAGATGTTTAGGATTGATCTTTCTTTTTTCTTCCTTTCTTCGCTGCTTAAAGTCCTTATAGCTTGGCAATGGCAGATGGATGAGCGTCTGAACCTCTTAGATCAGGTTTTAGTTTCGGACATTACCAATGAATGCAGAGTAAAGTGCCTTGGATAGACCTACGACTAATCAGAGCTAAGTGATGGAATAATGTAGACTGACCATGGCGAGCAGAGATGTAGTTATTGGATGTTATCTTCCTCTTATTGCATAAACACTGATTGGCCATGCAGGAGCAAGGATGAGAGGAAATACACCTGAAACGTAGCTCTCTCTTTTAGAATTATGTGCTATGTGAAGTTTTGACTGTTGTTATTAGCTGCGATATGCTTACCTTATACAACAGTGATTTAAGACCTCGACTTTTATGTGAAATGAAAAGTGCTGTGTGATTTGTCCTGACTGTGATAGAGAAGGGGAGGTTTGTAGTTACAGTTGTGAACCTGCCAGTTCCCCTTAGAGCTACAGCCTCATCATATGTAGTGGGTTTAACATAAAAATGAGACTTTGGATCCATAAAACAACGGAAGATAAAATCAGATCATAATAATAATGTGTGTGTGGGCCACATACTGTAAGTATTAAATTATAAGACAGAGTAGGTTCTCTGTCTTTATTGGGTCTTTTTTTTACCAGCCCAACAGTGTTTGTCACCAGTTGCATAATCACTGCTAAAAATGAATGCCTTGAGGCTTTTGTTCTCCTTCTAACTTTCTTAGTATGACCTTTGTGTTTGTTTTTGGTTAGACCGTCATTTCTTGATGTTGAAGTATTTCCAAAAGGCTTTTTAAGGAGACAAAGGCCTGTTTAGTTTTTTCCTAATTTTCTAATTATTAAAAATAAGCACCAGTTCCACAGTAAAAAGGCGTAGTGCAGCTGCGGATTTTAAGATAACGTTTCTTGAAGGGGTTCAATGTATAACTCTTCTTTAGCTTTCTGCCTGGGAATTCGTATTCAAGGGCACAAGATTGTTCTGAATTTTGGTGTTCACTTTTAGCAATAGTCCAGTGATATAAGTATAGTCTCATGGAAAGGGTTAGTAACTGGGGGAAATGTTGCATTCATTGTCCCCCATTAAGTGATTGCTTTAAATAACATGTTCTGACTGTATGGCTTACAAGCTCAAACAACATTGGACTTCTTTGGCATCCCTGTGCTCTGGCAGGAATTGCATAATCAAATTAATGTGACAATGCCCCAACCTGTTCTCCTCTCAGTGCGTCAGATGCTGCAATTCTGTTAGACAGGTGTCACATTGATACCCACAAGGTGTCCTTAGGCAGAAATAACTTGCTGGTCACTATTGTTTAGGAATCAACACATTGTTAGCAGATACGCACAGAACTTGCCATTACCGTTTGCTCATTATTGTAATTGGGGCAACTTAGTAAATCTGGCTGTTAGCAGTATAATGATTTTGACTTTTTCATACCAATATTTGTTTTGGTTTCATTCATGAGTGAACATTCAGTTCACTCATTAAATATCTATTTGGCCCTAATTTTAATATCTTAGAGGCCCAGAAGTAGAGATTTGTTCAAGAGGTGGATGGTACTAATGTGTCCCAAAAGACGTTACCCCTTTTTTCTGAGTACCAGCATACTAGTGTCACCTACCCTGTAAGAATTATTAATGAAAAGCAATAGCTGTTAGAAAAACAGTGGTAGTTTATTCCTTTTTTGTGCAGTGGGATTTGCAAATGTTGACCCCTATTCCTCAAAGACAGACATGGTTTCAAGCAAAGATTGTGTGTCATCCACATAGATTCCAGCATACACATGCTCTCAGCATGACTGCAGTGCATTTATATGTGCCTTCATGTGCGCTACCAGTCACTATGAGCTCAAGCCTCTCTGCTGGAGCTAGAAGTGCTGTCTCATCACAAGGAAACCCTTTATTCACAGCAGCAGGTACTTCTCGCTTAAATAAAAAATAATGATGTATGCAGGGACTGCAAAAAATCTGCAAATCAATCTAGAATCAGTCAAATAAAGTTGAAAATGTTTAATCTGAGAAAGACATCATTCCTAGTGTTACCTTAATACAGATTTACCGATATGTTTTTAAAAATTGCAAAAGAGCTCATTGATTAAAACAAAAAGGAAAACCCAGAAACAACCCTTAAGATTTTAATGTAAAAAAAGAGGATATTTATCTTAAGAAAGCCACACCTAAAATGAATAAATAAATAAACATTTGTTTGTGTTCGATTTAAAAAAATCAACCACAGTGGGTGCAAAATATAACTGATAGCGCTGCCCAGGACACAGTGACAAGCATTGCTGCCTTACTTGTATATTTAACGACCTAATTGGCTTGCAGGATGAAATGTGCCCTTTTTGCATACAAATCTCTATTTAAAGGGGAAGTGCTAATCATAAATATCAAGGCCAAATTCAGTTCCTGGCCTACTTGCCGTGAAACTGTGGAAGATTTATGCCTGCAAGTCAAAGATCTAAATCATTAACATTTCAGGTTTTTTCCATATAGCGTCATACCATTTAATTGTCATATTTGCATAAGTGAACATTTAATTCCTTTTGAAAACCTACAAAGGTGAGATACTCCAATAAATTATGCCTAAAATTGTTGCTTTTTACAGTTACAGAGGACTTTTGTCTTCTTTGGTTTTCCCACTGATTTGTTTGACGACCTGTATCCTCAGTGCTCATCTGAAATGCCACTCATGGTTATAATTCATAATGGGCACATTAATATTGTGGAGAAAGTGAACTGGCTTGATTTTTAAGGCAATTTTTAAAAGAGATGTGTTTATATGTGCTGACAAAATATAGAACACGTGTGTGTTTTGTGCTTTTGAAGCCTCAGGTTGATAGAAATTCATCTGAACTATGACTCCAAAAAAAGAATTTGTTTATAGCTTCACCACTAAAAGTTCTTCTAAAAACACTATCAAACCCACCAAGGATTGACATAGACAAAGACCATATTTGAAAGCCAGCTTGTGGGAGGGTTTTAAATGGGGAAATCTCTGGAAGAAACACAGGAATTATAGATGAAAACTATCACCAAACCAGCATCACAGACTGTTTGAAATTCATGCAAAATGCCTACAGAAGTTTCTAGTTTCTGCTAAACTAGGGAATACTCACTTTGAAGGGAACAGAAGAATATTATTTCTGTGTGTTCAGGTATATCATTTTTGTCTGTAGGCTGTATATCAAAGAGGATCAAATGTTTTGAGGTTCAAATACATTGTGCAACCAGTGATTTTCATTTTTGTTTCCTTGCTTTTGATGACTAACTTATTTGGCCACATGGTAGCTGACTTTCTTACATTCCGAAGCCTTTCAACTTTGTGTTAATATTGAGAAACATCAAATTTCTGTAAAACAAAAAAAATGTGTGAAACTTGGGAACTTCATGGTAAAGTCTTCTCGGTTGGAGGTGCTAGTAATTGAAGTTTTAAAGACATAGTCAAGGGTGAAGGGCTTTGCAGGATATCGCAGCTTCACATTATTATGACATTTGATTTCTCGCCGTAGTTTTAGCCCAAAATAATGAGTTCAGTCTGAACTCTAATCTAATGATTACAAGGAACCTGCCACTTAGGAATACATCGGTGAAGTGATTCATATTCAAAAGATTTAACATTTGCGGCTTCTACTGTTTATCTTACAGCACAATGCAAATTTTTGTGCTTGCGATGCAATAATTCTTTGCCAAGTAAGTTGACTATGAAAGCAATTAAAGTCCATGAAGTATTTTAACTTTTACTGATATTGTTGGTCTGTTTTCACTGT